TTATTTTCATCCGAATAGTAGAACTATTTCTTATTATATTAAAGTGTAGGATTATCAAAACGTTTCCGATTAAATAACAAATTATTATTAATATTAGCCGCGTGGAGTTCTAACAATTAACTGGAAAATGTATATCGGGAGAGAATAAAAGAGACGTTATAAGCCACAAGCAATAGAGAGAGGTACCCGTGTCATTCTTCAAACGTCCTCTAAAACGAAGTGAGAGAAACTAGACATACGTCAACGGTTCTACTTCATTATTTACAATAATAAATCCAATCGATTTACTTTAACCATTGAAATAATTCAATCAACGACGGGAAGAAAGAAAATAAACTGCTCCGACCTATAGACTGGATGAAGGAAGTGCCATAAGAACGAGACCGACTCGTCCCGACTTTCTACAAAAAATCTAAAGAATATCTCTACTTTTATCTCTTATTCTATTTTAAAAAAGGAAAGAATATCTCGTATATCGATTGTCATAAAAGCTAATAGACATTTTTTTCTGTAATATCTTTTTTAACTTTTTTTTTTAAAACTACCAAGCCTTAATAAAAAATAGGTTTTTATTTAATATATTTCAATAATTTATATTTTATTCGCTATTTTAACGAAATTCGCGAACGTATTTATAACAAAGCGTGTTTAGTTACGAAACGATAATTCGAACATTTCATATACATAGAATAATAATTTAAATCAAATTTAAGTGCTCGAAAAATTAAAGNAAAGTAATAATTTTATTACACGTAATTAAATAATCAAAATAATATAATTTTATTATAATAAACTCTATGTTAAATGTAAACATAAACGTCGGTTTAATTATAACTCGTTTTTTTATATTTAATTTTTAAATTCATTTTTTTTCTCGCGTCGTTATTTTATATTATTATATTTAAAGCTTCTCGACAGATGGCGGTAGCGATCGACGTTTTAATCTTTTTCCTCCCTTCTCTTCCTCTGAGCAACAAAAAACTTTCTATCCTATAAATAAATTTTAAATTTATTAAACAAAATTAAATAAATGTTAAATAAAATATTAATAAATATTACATTTATTTATTTGGTTTCATATTTTTTTAATAGATAAAAGGTGAATTTACATTGTCATTTTTATTTCTTCTATTAAAATAAAAATTACACGCTTAAAAGTAGGCAAAATACAAAAATTTAGTCGGTGATATACTCTTATATTGTAAACTTATATAATTTATATACAGTATTTCGTTGCAATAAATAAGACAGGTATAATAATCTTACGCTGTACAAATTTTGAAATAGAAATAAAGATTTTTATGATGTTTGAAAGAACGTTTGGAAACCAATATATATTTTATTCCTTTATAAACGATTCGGGTCGAATCGGGTATTTAGAAAGATGCAAGTCAGCTTCGATTTATTAAAAAAAATGATCACGAAAACCTGTTGAAAGTATTCATTTTTATAACAGTTCATATTACTATTCCGTTCCTATTTCTTTTTATTAACAACTTCTTTTAATTTAGTAAAATAAATAATTAAATTCATTTTGTTACGACTAAAACTTCTTTAATACAATAGAAATATTATTATTATGCTGATTTTATTTTGATATTAACTTAAATTTAAATACAAACCTACAATCGTTCTTCTTGATTAATTGAAACGTATTTACTTTAAAGATTTACATCCGAATGGATCAGAATATTATTTTGATTGTTTTACTTTCGCTGCATTTTCGGAATCATAATTTGCTGAATAAATTTGTAAATACATAATAAAAAGAATGTATTAGTCATTAATCGTTACGCTTTGATAATTTGTAATGAAAATTCTTACAAAACATATCATTAAAACACCGAAAATTTTTTAAAAATTATGCTTTTCTTATTATTATTTTGCTAAAATTCTACCAATTACCAATTTTTAAACTTATTATATTTTCGCATATAAAATAATTTATGTTGTTTTTAATTTTTTAGAAATTTTCTCAGTAAAAAGAGTCAAAATTTTCTAAAAATTATGAAATAATTAACCGAATTTCTGACTCATTATTTAGAATTGATGCTAATTTTATGTTTGATTGTAAAATTGAAGTAATTATTATGATTTCTTTAATATGTATTTGATTATGGAACTTTACCTTTTTTTATTTTATTTAAAACATTTTAAATCTATTTAAGCGCAATATTTTCGAAAGCGTTTTATCTTACGGGTGAGGAGAGGGGCACGTGAGATGGACACGGAAGAAGGGTTTTTCTTTCTAAATATTGTTAGATCATATTTTCTAAAATCAGATTTCGTCGAGAACCAGTTTGTTCTACGCGCTATAAATCGCGTTAATGAATGGAAAGTAGGCGAAACTAAATGCCAAATCAAATGTTATTGTAAATGAAATCGTCGTTACATTATTTAAATCTCCATATTTTGGCAAAATATTAAAATAGTGCTCTAATTACCGTTACCGACTAAATCTGGTCGAAACTGGTATGACATATAAAACGTACAGTACATTACTATACGTTACGTGTAACTTATTTTTCTATATATGACTTTAATAAATTCTACCAAATAATGTAAGAATACAGTTAAAACTCGATTTAGCGCCATAATTTGTTTGCATCTGACGTTAACATATTAAACCGAAGACCAAATAATGACATTTACGTACTGAAGTCCTATGATTTGGTGGTAATAATTTCGTTTGCACTTTGAAATCTTACATTTAGTAATTTGCAGGTACCAAAGAATTTTCTAAATTTAAAAGGAAATTATTAGCAGATATTGGTTGAGCTATTTAGAAGATCGCTACATCGAGATTTGATTGCAATTAACTCATTTAAATATATAACTTTTAAACATTTCGATTCAAAATATTTACATAAATCAAATAAGAAAGGATAAACATCAAAAACACTGTATAAAAATTCAATTATTAAGAGGTAAGTCGATAAATTACATTTTAAAAAACGAGTTATTTTAATCTATAATGTTTTTTCCAATGTTTTCTTAACTTTATTAAAATCTTGAATGCGTAAAATTAAATTGTATATAACCCTCCAAGGTTTGCTTAACAAACATCATCTACTAAATAAAAATATACAAATGCTTCTTACCGAAAAGAAAATAATTATTTTTACTTGTTGCAAAGTTTGTTTCTTCGACTTTTTAAAATTCGAATCATTAAAAATTGTTAAAAATTGTTTTGTTGCGTTCGCTGAACCGTTTCCATTTCTATGAGTTATTGTTATATTTACACGAAAATATTTTTCATAACGATGTATTTATTTCAATATTTTTGCTTAAAAATAGAAATAAATAAATAAATAGAATTGCATTCCTAAGAAGCTTTTAACCTACAAAATGAGACGTCGAATATAAATATATATATATATTTTTTTATTTTTAGAAATTAGAAATATAAAAGGTTTATATTCGGTAAGAAAAGAGGACTTAAAAGAATATTTATATATTCTACAAATCGAGCGATAACGAGTTTTAATTGCGTGGATTATGTGGACGGGGTTTTAGTGTCAATGATATAATAAAGATATTTTGACGTTCATAAACGCATCAGAACACGCTCCGGGCCTGTAATAGATCCGGTTAATTGGATATTTATCAAAATAGCTATCGGGATGTTATACGATTATCGGTCGGGAAAATTGATCCCCCCCGTTTGCTCGAAACGAATCCCCTCAAATTTACAAAGCGTTCCGATTTTAGTTAAGTATGGTAAAGATTTTTCTTTTCGACCGTCGAAGAACAAATTGAATCAAAAGCGAAAATGTCCTCTTAATTAAATCTTGTCGACTTAATTAGACAACGTCGAATGGAGAAACTCTTAATGACTTTCGCTTGGCGCCAATTACGGAAAAGCCTCACTTTGTTTCCTTTCTTAATAACCTTTTATGAAGGAGTCAATAAGAGATATTTCTTAATTAATCGGAATTAACCGCGTGGATGATACGAAAGGACAGAACGGACCGAGACGATTCGCTTTCTACAATAAAAGCAAGTATAGAAATGCACGCTTTGGATAGGGGATGAAAAGCGGCCTCTACCACCGATCCTTTTGTACCTTCATATAAACTGCGCCTGCTCTATTATGAAAATGTAGGTGGGTCGTATAAGCGGTTAGGTATCGGGCGATACTAGTAGTCGACGCGCTCTTTGTTTCAGGTAAGCTGACGCGACATTCTTCGCGTCGTCGCGTCCGTACCTTCGCTCTCGACACTAAACTGGCTTCGCGCGACGTCTGCCTTTAACCCCTTTTCCTTACAATTAAATGGATAGATGGATAGTATCGCGTACTTATTTCGACAAAGTTAAGTTTTAGTACGCTCCGTAAATTATTATCGAATTTTATCGATTTGAAAATATTTAAGTAAATAAATAATGTATTTTAAAGTTAACATTTTACTGTATTTGTTAATTATTTTCAGTCGTTGAAATAATTGGATATTTTTTTTATTAATATAGATTTTAGTCAATCCTGACGTAAATTTAATATAAAAAGTTTTGCATATTTTTAATGTTTTTATAAATTTGTATTTAAAGTATTCGATTATAATACTTTAAATACAAATTTATAAAATAATAAATATATTAAAAAATACAAATATTTTCAAAGAAATAAGCGATCATATTCGAATTTATTAAAGTATGCAAATAATCCAAATTAAGAAAATGACGAAGGGAAAAAAATGAAAAAATTTTAAAGCGAAATTATAATAAACTTAATACAGCGTATATCTTAATGATGCGTTATCTATTCAAATAAACGATAAACATAAACAGGTAATTATAAAAACGATCCGAGCGAAGGGAAGAAGAATAGGGATCTAAATGTCAAGTAGGTTATTTGAATTCTCCACCGTCTTCGATTAGTCGGAAAAAAAGTCGAAGATAACGTTTTCGCAGCGCTTTTTATTTTAATAATTGTGTTTTCCGAATGCAAATGAGAATTTTCGATTTGTTTACTTAGATTAGTTAACGTTTTGCCTTTTTTTCAGATACTTCATTCCCAATCGAAGCTAATATTAGTCGGAATGTCGAAAGAAGAATGCGTGGCAGCGGTGATTGCGGTCTCATTAATTGGAATGATCGGTGAGTTAGTGACAAAACTAAAAACTTTATTTATCTCTCGTTGCTTCTGTTTATGTTCATTTCAAATTTATTTTCGGAAATTTTAAAGGATCTTATCGAAAAGATAACACAAATTAGATTTCAAATAAGTTTTACGTCCTGACGACCGTTCGTCATAAACCCACTGACAAAATTTAAATAAATAAAAGACTTATTATAACGAAAAGACGTATTATTGGTCTTTTCATTATTAGACTTGTATCCGTTCAAATCTGAAAGTGGATTTTAGTTCGTTACACTTTCATTGCTGGTTAATTTTGGGTTGAGTCGAATTTTAAGGTGATATGTCCTGTAGATCAAATATACCAAGACCATATCCTATATTTGATTATCACGAAATTGCGAAAGCAGTATTGCGAATAATAATTCGCAATACTGCTTTCGTATTGTGAAAATATTGCGGAGCAGTAAAAATATGCTCTTTTACTGTGGCGTCGAGAACTATGTCTATCTATTGAATCGCTTACAAGCTAATGAATTGATTTAAGCACAACGAAGGTCATAAATTACTATCATAGATGAAATTATTTGACTGAGAACTTTTTATTATAAACGAAAATGAAGGTTTAATGTCCAGGAGAAATGCGATGGTGACGTCTTTCATCGCATTTTAATTCTGGATTCTTTGACGTTTCAAAACTACGAGTAAAAGTTTAAAAAAATATTGTTTAAAAAATTAATAGGCCTAAATGTCTAATTATTTTGTCGCTTATACATATATTAACAAGACATAGGTTTGAAAATACATTTTATTTTTGAACGCGTTACAAGATTTGTTTGAAAATACAAATTTATTTTATTTTAATGTAGGTAATAGGCAATCGTAATTTAAAGGAAATTTATATACTAGAAATTAAATTTTTTATATGAGTTAATTGCTAAGTTTTGCAGAAGTTTAATACAGATTATATAGGCTAATCATAAAGTTAATTCAATGAAATAGAAAAATATAAAAACAACTGACCACAGAAACCTTATGTAACAAGAGCTTGTCACAGAGATTGAAAAGTACAATACATTCTGTAAGCGTATTATCAGATCAACAATATTCTAAGTGCTGGAAAAAATAAAGACATTTTCAGAGGTTGTAAGGTGACAGATGTGAAAATACTAAGATGCTATAAATATAAACAATATAAAGAGTGCCAGAAAAGATGAGTAGGATATAAAATGAAAACATCAATGTAAGTTAATTATGAGTGTAGAGATGGAAGTGTATCTGAAGTGATTTTTTTCAATGATAAGACGGTCGAATCGGTAAAATATCTATAATGATAGTCATGAATAATAATCTATACTAATATTATAAAGAGATAAAGTTTGCAAGTTTGGATGTAGGAGGTAATCTCCGAAACTACTCATCCGATTTCAAAAATTCTTTCACCAATATTTAGAATGGACCTTCAGTGTGGACAGGCTGTATATTATTCCGTTAAACATTCATATAAATTAAAAGATATCATCTAGGTAAGCGTTATATTTTGGTGTCAGCGTGTGGCGAGGGGCAAAACCCGTACGTATACGAAATAGGTAACCGCGCGACGCAGTGCACGTGTCCGACCTTGTACATTATATAGACTAGATGTCGAAATTTCCCCCGGGGGAGAGAGACAAAATTAAGGCTTACCGTGAAGAACTCGGCTTCTATTATACTATTTTAGATGCGGTTTTTTGCGTTTTTGATTGCCTTTTAATAGGGTACGTCAAGAGAATGTACACTAAGAAGGGATTTTTCGAAATTCCCTCCCGCGAGGAGTGTTATACATTTATAACAGATACATTTTGAGCCACAGCAACGCGTGGCCGGCTACAGATAGAAATCATTATAAATAGAATAATAGACTTCGTAGATGACTTGGTTAAAAGTTGTCAGAGAAATCGAAAAGTTGTAATTCAGAATCTCTCACCCAGTCTGATCACTCCATTGTGGGTCAGGCTCTTTCCTAATGGGGTACTTTCCATCCGATCACGTAGTCTTAATCTGATGAAATGATCGATCATCGTGTTGAGTAATTAATCGCTTGATCTGTCAGAAACAACACGATAAAATGTGAAAGAAGATAGGGCAGGATAGCAGAGAACTTTCAAAGTTCTATATAGGAAACATTCATTAAAATTATTTAGTTTATTTTTGTCCAGAAACAAACAAATAAATAAAATTATCTTCTTGTAAACGAATGTACAGTACAGTACACCTAATTTTTTTTTCTAATTTGGATGTCGATCTTTCCTGAAATCATAATTTTATGACATGGATGTAAGGACTTTCCAGTAAAAACTATAATAAACTACAGATCTTTTATCTTTTCTCTTTTTCATTTCTATTTTATGTAGGCTAATTCTCAATTTTAGAACTACTACTGCTAGATTTTGATTCTTTTCTCACACGAAATTTAATTTCTGACATTTGCTTCGCAGAACAATAGTCTATCGTTCTTATCATACTTTGTGGATCGATTTTACCTTTTCAAAATATTCGCTAATACGGAAGAACAGAATACATGTTACAATTTTTACTACATGCGTCAAATGTATTTTTATTTTATGCTAATTATTCACAAATTAATTTAAAAGTAGGAAAACGAAGTCGCTTTTTTCGCTTAAATCAGGGGTTCTTAACCTTTTTTCATGTATTGATTCTTTAAAAAACTTTTTTTTTATCGAACCCCTTCAATATTATATATAAATATATATGCAACAGTCTCCTATATAATTTTTAAAATGTATCTTCCTATATTTATTTCGGAACAAAAAAAAACGTGTAAAAATTTTTAATATTTTAAAATAAACTTTTTACATTTACAAAGTTTTATTGATCCCCTTCAAACTTTCTTCAACGGGGTCGATATTGGACCCTTGAGAAAATTGGTTCCCCTAAGGGACCAATATCGACCCTAGTTGGGAAACCCTGGCGTAGGTGAACTATTGCAAATTAAAATTTAAATCGTACGAATTGCCAAGAATAAGAAAAACTAATAAATTAAATTACAAATTAAAGACAAGAATAGATAATGTTATGTAGGTGTTATGTCACAATTATTAAAAACCTTGATGGACAAAAGAGATTTCTGAATTATTTAATGGTAGTATGTGAGAGAATATGTCTCTCACATACTACCATTTAAATATTTCAGAAATTAAACGACATTATAATATTGTCTTCGACTCACTATTTTGTAGATATAATTACGTAATGAAACTTGAACATCAATTTACTAAAAATTTTAATTTTGTAACGTTTTCATCCAGTAGTGTCTTCAATTCTGTTTAAAATATTTGAAATAGTTTGAGTAATGTTAACGTGTAGATTTGTCTCCATAGAACGAATTTCGAAAAGGATTACAAAGCGTATAAAACTTCGCATCGTATTTTGCTATTGCGTCAAGTTTGAATTTCACGTTTTTTCAAACTGAAATGATTAGCGAAATTTCGGAAAAGTAATTTTTCGTTCATCTGCAGTCATTTCTATAGTCGTAAATGTGTTTTCTTCACAATCTCACTCTCTTTTTACTTTCCCGGTTGTTATATATAACAGAAAGAAAGTATGGCGATCGGTCAAAAAAGATCCCCAAGATTTTTACATTTTTGTATTCAGGACACCTTGAAACGTCGAGAAATGCAAAAAAATTCGGAGTTTTTTCTGTATATATTCATGTTAGTGTGTGGGAGGCACGATCTTGTTCATCCTGTTTGAAGCTTAATAACTTCTGTGCTTTTTGTCGAAAATGTCTGAAATTTTGCTGGGTAGTTTTTTGTTAGAGGGATTGATGCTATTAAATTTTGGTGGTCGAGGGGTGGGAAGATAAAGGGATCGTGTGTATTTCCAGTAGGATCAGACTTAATGACGATTTTACTCGTTATTAGCATTTACAATGTTTTAAAAACTGTAAACTTTTTGCCATTTTTAAATTGTTAAAAATATAAAATTTTTGAAAATAAAATATGATAAGAGATGGCTCACCAAATGTCACCAGCAAAGTTAAGCAACTCGTTTCTGGATTTTTAACTTATAGATCAGTAATAGTAATAGTAGCTTTCTCATTATTCTAAGAATATGATTTATTAATTTGTCAAATTGTGGATGATATCCCTAAAACTTTTGAAAAAGTGACCTGAAATGCGAATCATCTTCTAAGTTGAAATGTGTTGATTAAAATACATTTATCGTACAGAAAATTATAATCTAAATCATAAATCAAAGTATAATAATCCCTTCAATATTATATGAAGGACTGTTTAAAGTGTATTAAGTGAAGTGAACACCCTGTTGTTCTGTAATTTTAAAAATGAGAAAGATTTTAGTTATCAATCGTAAACCCTTTTTAGTTTGAGTCTCATTAGAACCGAATGGTCTTTGAAAAGTTTCACAACAAAAACACAGTTTTCGATACATTTTTTTCAAATAAGACTATCAATTTTTCTAAGTTTCCTTCTCTCTTCTTAAAGTGGAAATTGAATCGGTGTAGAAATTCGTCATTATCGTTTTGACTAAATTCGATGCTTTTACAAATTTTGAATTTGAATTCAAGAGATGCAAATTTAGGTACTTTTAAACATTTATAAAGACATCTAATTCAATCAAATCGAGAAAAATGAAGAGCTTCCGTCCTATCCTAGTTGCACATTAAGATTAAACTTGTAGAATTAAAATCTTACAAATAATTTAATTTAGGCAGTGGTCCAATATGGAAGGTTTTATCTGATTAAGTTATAACCGTTAATTATTTAGAACGTAATCTAATTATTTAAGTAAACAATTGGATTTCTTATTAAGGAATAGCGTACGAGAGATTCCGAGGTATTGTTATCTTTTAACGAAGTTCATCCAACGTTCTTTAGTTGATGTTTATGTATTGTACAGTACAGTACCCAGTGAATCGTTACGGATATTACGTCGACAGTTATGATACTGTCGTTTTCGTAAAGACTACGGTTCAGTAATGAAATCGCTCAAAAATGCG